TTTCCGATGGCTGGGGTTGTTCGTTTAGATGAGGTTCTTTAGTTGTGAAAAAATTGTGTATTACGAGAAGATAAAAAATAATCTTTTTCAAATTTTCAAATTTGGGGAGCGTAAAACTGCGATTTTTTTTATTTCTGTGCGATAAGATTCATATGTATAGAACTTGAAAGTAAAAATAAAATTGGACCTGAAGCATGGCTATATACCTCTCCATATCATACAAGGCTTGTAAACATATGAGATGAATAGAACTAACCTTTTTTCTGACAATTGTTTCATCTCTTAATTTAATTGTTCCGTTATTAAAGAAAGTACAGTGAATTTTATAAGCAAGACCCGTTTAACTTGTAATTCCCGACAAACATTTTTTAATTAATTCAAAATATATATCTTCTTCCTTTTCGGATCAAAATGGGGAAACATTGCATTTTATTACGTTTTATGTCAATTGGTCTCTGGTAGAGAGTTGTCTCATTGGCACTCATCATACCGTATATATCTTCTTTTTCATATAGACTTATGTATTACCCAAATACGATATATTTTGTTGTTTGTTGCTTACGTTACTTTCAATGGGAAATATTTCATGCATATTCAGTACAACCAAACATTAAGTATCAATATTGATGTGCAAAACAGAAATTGCAAGCGAAATATCATGATAATCATTAATCGCCGTAAAACGTAAAAAAAATGACGTTACCATTTGAGACGCAATATCGTGCGTAATGTCTTGGTAAACACGCCGAAAGACAATGAATTGAGTGTAAGTCTAATCATCTCTATGAAATTGTACCACAGCGTTCCATATAATAAAAGTAAGGATGGGATTGATTTTGGGGATTATGGCCCTAACCGTTAGGAATAAGAGACCAAAAAAAAAACCGGGACAATACTTATTAATACTTTGTATAAATTGCTTATTTCTTTACCAATTTCAACGGGATTTAGTTCAAAGTCTTGAATTTATTTATTTTTCTTTAATATGCCGAATTTAACCGTGTATTTAAATTTTGGTTTTTGGCCTCGTTTTTCAATCGGTCCACATTGAGGACCAAAGGACCCCAAATTAAACTTTATTTGATTTCATCAAAATTTGAATTTTTGGGGTTCTAACCTTGTATTTAAATTTTGAATTTTGGGCTCCGTTTTTTGATTGGTCCACATTGGGGTCCAAAGGATCGAAATAGGATTCAAAATTAAACTATTATGATATCATCAAAAAATTAATTCACTGGGGTTATATGAAATACCGAATCGAACCGTGTATTTGGATTTTAAATTTTAAACTGGTCCACATTAAGGTCGAAAGGTCTAAAATTAAACTTTGTTTAAACCCCCTGAAAAGTGAACCCGCGGTCAAAATACCATATGGAAAATTGACCCAGGGGTCATTATACCGCATGGTATTTTGACCCCGGGGTCATTTTTCCCATATGGTATTTTGAACCCCACCATGGAAAATTGAACCCCCCTGTTTTAGATAAATAGTATTGCAGATTATCTAATTTACAATTTGTTGGCTAGGATTTTTTTTTTAAATTGGAGGTCTATAGTAGGGGGTTCAATATACCATGGCAGGGGGGTCAAAATACCATGGCTAAGAAAAATTTTCAAAGCATCTTTTCCAGCATGTAAAGTACATACAAACTACTTATTGGAGTATTATAACTATGTAAATGAGCTAGAATAGCTAGAATTTTTGAAGTTAGAAGTCTATAGTAGGGGGTTCAATATACCATGGCAGGGGGGGTAAAAATACCATGTATTATGACTATGTAAAGAAGTTAGAAAGAAAGTTAATGAAAATTATTTTGGTAAAGACTTTACAGCACTAACTGCCCTTCTACTAAGGGAAATTGACCCTCCCCTTTTAAGATGTCTGAATTTCAATCTATAATAAAGTGTTTAAAGATATTCAATTATTAAATAAGTAGTTGGTATGAAAGAGCATGAAGGAAAGATGATTCAACAATTTCACTTAGCCATGGTATTTTAACCCCCCCCCCCCCCTCCTTTGCCATGGTAAATTGAACCCCCTTCCTATTCACCTCTTTATTTCAAAAATAATATTTTTCAAACTCCTTTTCAAAGTTTCAATGCTGTCATAAGTATAGGGTATATATAAAACATGTTGTAAAAGACGTTTCAATATTTTTACTTAGCTATGGTATTAAGACAACCCCCCCCACTGTCATGGTATATTGAACCTTTACTTTCAATTTTCAAAAATCATTTCTATTCAAACTATTTTAGATAGTTATATAAATGCTGTTACTAGTATTTGGTATATATGTTGGTAATTTTATTTTACTATTTTTCTTAGCCATGTTATTTTGCACCCCTCCCCCTGTCATTGAACCTCCTTGTTTATACACCTCCAATTTCTGAAGTCGAATTATTTTCAAACTAGTTTTCAAAGTTTTAATACTCAAATAAATATATGATACATGTAAAACATATTGTAAAGATGTTTTGACTATTTAACTGAGCCATGGTAATTTGACCCCTCCCCCTTTTTTACCATGGAAAATTAAAGCTACCTTTATATGTTATAATTTCAAAAAATTAAAGCATTCAAGATACATGGTCTAGTTATAATGCTTCAATAAGTATTTTGAATGAAATTTTGTTGGTAAAGACTTCAGAGCACTTATACCAAGCAAAGATATTTCTTTTAAAAAATTATGGAAAATTGACCTCCCCTTCTTGTATGAATGATTTTTAATCTATGATAAGCTTTAGAATAATGTATAATGTTCTAATAATCATCTAGAATGAAAAAAACAGCATGTTCAATTTACCATGGGGGGGTCAATTTTCCATACAGGGGGGGGGGGGGGGGGGGGGGGGGGGGGTTTCTATTTACCATAACGGTATTTTGACCCCGGGGTCAATTTACCATAGGGTTCAAAATACCATATGACATCGGAACATCTTATTTATTAATATGAATATATTAACAAAAAGCTAAGTAAATTTTTAAACAGACTTTAAAGGGATATAGTTACGATACTGTTGTCAGGTCATTAAAGATGGCATATTTTGTCTTTAATATTGATTCACTTATAGGGTCTTTGCATCGGAAATAAACACATTTATTCTAAAACCAGTTGTTGGCATGATACGGGTTATGTTCTTCTCATATATTTTATGATGGTATGATACTAAACCCCTAACGGGAGGGATTGTGCTTGATATTCAGATGATGAAGACATAATCTTTCAATCAGTTTAATTGAGGTCTGGAGCTGGCATGTCAGTAACTGCTAGTAGTCCTTTGTTAATTTATGTATCATTGTCATTTTGTTTAGTTTCTTTTGTTACCTATTCTAACATTGGACTCGGACTTCTTTTAAACTGTGTTTTACTGTGCGTATTGCTGTGCATTTGTTTTTTCTACATTGGCAAGAGGTATAGGGGGGAGGGTTGAGATCTCAAATAACGTGTTTATTATTTTCGGTGAATTCAATATTAAGTCAAATCAAGGTAGTTTTAGTTATTAAATGTTCATATTCATATTACATGTATATTATATTTATTTAACCGCAGTTACTACATGCTGTCCCTCTTTTTTATTTGCAAAAACAAATAAAAATTAGAGGATTTATTTTCTTTTGAGCTTATCTAAACACCGGGGGTAACTGCTAAAAAAATAATCCCCCAAATACTTGGGGTTTCACTATTACCGATAGATGAACCAAGACTCGGACAATACGTTAAATATAAAGGATTTTAGTCAGTAAACTTGTGCCAATTTTGGCTCAGAGAACGAGAACAGTGTGTTCCTGAGAAGAAAATTTGAATTTATTTCATAATACGTATTTGGTCTAAATCCTCATATATTCAGACTGTTAATAACCAAACCAATATATGTCCTTGTGGTCCTAGTACTCATATTGTCCGGAACATAACCACATATAAAATACCTTTATGTGTGTCAGTATCACGTCCCAATATGAATTAATGTTTTCTTGCCGGTAGTCCCCTTTTTATATTACATTTAGTCCAAATAGTTATGACGTCTTGAAAGGCTATTTCTTTTTTTTTCTGTGATGACTTCCAAATAAATATGACGTCTTGAAAGGCTATTTTAATTTTTTTCTGTGACGCCTTCCTAGGTTATGACTTCTTGAAAGGCTATTTTAATGTCGTTTTTTTTTAATGATTGTGTATTTCTTAAACAATATTCAAAACAGACCCAGCTTTTTCCTAATATCGCCCCCCCCCTCCCCCCAAAAAAAAACACAGTCCCCCTCCCCCGAAAATAAAAAGTAAAACAAATTAAAAAATGGATATCTATTCACCATACCAAAAAATGACTGATGATCAACATATGATTTAATGCTGAGCTGAACATAATCTGTGATGATAACTTTCTTCCGGGTTTAGAGTTTCTTTTTTTAGACATAAACGCGGTCGTGTTAGAGAGCACCCTTTTTTCTTTGTAAGTTTACGTTACAGGTTACGAGGTACAAGATGAGATTTTCTTTAGTAAAATACACTAACTTCATAGTGTATTCAGTATATATGTTTACATTAAATAAAATCTCCTCTTGTACCTATGGTTAGGAACCTTATTGTGAAACACTCGCAGTTGAAATCTTTAGTTGCACGGACCGGTTATGTAATATTTAAGGTTTATTTTTGATTTGTGTAAATAACTTGGGAATTATTTACTTGGGATGAGTTGAAAGTAGCTGTTAACCACTGGTTAAGTTACCTTAACCAGTGGCCAACTAACCACACTTCAATTTTGCTTTTGAGCAATTGAAAAATAGCCAACGGATAGTAGGCCAGTGGATAAGATAATTATCCATTGGATAAGCTAACCAATGGCTTAATTTAGCCATAGTTTTGAGCAACCCAGTCCTGATGACTAATATTACCTGGGAAATCAGCTAAACAGACAACTTTTCTATGATTATCTGATGACTATAATTACCTGGGAAATCAGCTAAACAGACAACTTTTCTATGATTATCAGATGAATATCATTACCTGGGAAATCAGCTACAAATACAACATCTGTATGGTTATCTAACTGATCTTTAATCTGGTCTAACTTTTCTCTCCAACCTGACAAATCAACTAATAGTGGTTCAACAAAGGATGTTCTTTTAAAAGGATGCCATTCTGCTTCTAAAATATTTACTCTGGGATCAAACATTCTGAAAAATGAATGCAGTACTATTCACAAAATATCTTGCCTACTGTGGTAATTGACTACTAAATGCAAAAGCAAAACAGACTATATAAAAATTGTGGCTAGGGATAAAAACATGGTATATGACCCAAAAGGCAGTACAAAGTGTCATTTAAAATGATCAACTGCATTAACAGGTGAAACAAAAATCAAGACAACAATCTTGATGGTTGCAAATTGAGTTTACTTGTAAGTTATTTAATTGATGCCTGCAAATCTTCATTCTAATGCAACTGAATAAAAACATATATGCATATTTTCTGACCATCAATTGTGGAATTGATGCCCTGAAATAGTTGGCATTATCAAATCAAAATGAAAGTTACAAATGTTAATGAATTAGAATGATTAATGTTAGTGCTCAATGATTGAGCCTCAATCCAAATATTTGATCTATAGTAACGATGATCAGAAACAATTTTAGTAGCAGAATTTCCATGCAAAAATTTAGGTTCTAACTGTCCTTTAATAATTCTGTGGTGCAGCAGCTTCATTTATATACTATTTTCTTTATAAAGTAATATTTGTCATACAAATGAATTGTTGAAAACAATACATGATCAAGCATCCACGAAAATGCAATTTTTTCTTAGTCCTTAATAGAAAGTACCCCAAAAAGTAAAAGTTATCAACAGTCTGTATTTCTGTTTAGTTTTATGTTTTGTAATGTTGAGAAAGAATAACAAAAACTAATATTTATTTACCTTTGTTGAAATCTTTGGTTCAGTGATTTCCAGATATCAAAGTAGAGTTCAATGTCCCCAAGATCATACTGTTTTAATCTATCAGCTAAACAGGTTCCATATTGTTTGACCATATCAGCATGAGCACTCCATCTGGAATGCCTTTCATTATTGAATGCCTAGAAATAAAACACACTAGAATTTTCAATTCAGAATTTCACATTTTCAATCAACTTTTGAACATACACAAATTTATTTTCATTAACATGAAAATTGTACTCCTCCTAAAAAAATGCCAGCATAACTATAACATGTGTCTTCTCAAGCTTTTGCACTAGTTTTAATTTACCTGGTGTTTACCGAGTGTTTATCTAACAAAATTTTCACCTGAATAGCCCACCATTAAAATATGTATTTCTCTTTTCTCTTTTAGTTAATATTTTTTTGTGTTTTTATCATATAAGTTAAGTCTATTTCCTACTTTCAAAAGATAATTAAACTCTTGCTGATTTTTTTTTTAGAAAACTTTATCTTTGTGTGGTATCAACAAGTATACAAATATGACAACTAAAACAAGTATGGTCTAAGAAAGGGGTGACAAATTAAACACATCTTATCTGTCAAGAGAGGTGAGAAATACGAAACACCTAATACCTTGTGTGATCTCAGAGAGGGGAAACAAATATAGCACACCATATGCCTGACATGATCTCAGACAAGAAAGACAAATATGGAACATCAAATACTGACATGTTACTCAAATGTTTTGTAGAGAAATAAATAAGACATATCTTATTCCTGGTGTGGTCTGAGAGAGACAAGGAATAAAACTATGGCCACTTACATTATGAGCTAGGAATTTTTAGTGTCATGGCTTTTAATTAACCTGTAACGTACAAGGGTAGGAACCGTAATTACATATATTAATAATTTAAGAATACATTAGATCTAAAATAGAGGATGATAACTTTGATTATTTACACTGCTGGCTTTCTTTTTATTAATACTAGAAAAAACCCGCGCGAGTGCGGCTAGAAGACTACTTGAAATGTTTATGGTGATACTCAGCTTGGGTTCAGGTTTCTCAAACTCTTTTTATGCACTGATCCAACCATTTCCACCTGCTTACAAAACGTAGACGGTAAGGAACCAGCTACGGAACTCTATTTGGGGTTTAATTAATTAAGCTACACTTATAGCAATTACCATATGAAGTTATAAAGTACATTACATACACTAACTATTTATTCTTATATAATACTTCAGACGATTGTCCACTCGGAGACAAACCAGCTAAAAAATCTTGGTCTACAAATTTAAAAGTATAGATAGATTTCCCGGGCATTACGTCAACTGAGCATGCACGAAAGCGTATAAGACACGGATCGATAACGATCTCCGAATGTGGATATTTTCTCAAAAATTGGTGTTTTCTGTGGAAAAAGATTGTTTCAAAGACAAATTTAGGAAGTACAATACACTACATTTATATGTCATATCACAAATATTTCCAACTTTGTATGGTTTCAGAGGAGTTGCGGTTCAAAGAAATCGGTCTCTTCCTTTAGTAGTATAGATGTTTTGTTTAGTTTGGCCTACAATATGGAAGATAACTCTTCCTTGCATCAGTATATCAAAAGTCTACTGTATTTGCATCAAACTAATGTACATAGGATTTTTTTCAAGTAACATTTTTGTCTCATTGTATGAGCCTTAGATGTGTTAGTTAAATTTTTTTACTGTGTTCATTATTCCTGTTTTATAGCTGTGTACAATGTATTTTATTAAACAGTGATATATTTGTGCAGGGTAGGTTCCATAGTAAATTGTCTACAGTGAAAATAACCAAAATTAGACAAGCACGAAAATTTCCTGATATATAATTATTATGAATATCTTTACTAGTAAAAGTGAGATTTTTTAATAATAACATCAGGCAATAAGTGTCAGTTATTGACATGTCATGTCCTGGGTTGTACAAATTAGGAAAGACTACTACTATTACTTACAAGAGCTTATCATGTCATGTCTTTCTATTTTTAAGTTTTGTATATGCAGTCTATTAAAAGTAATGAAACTTACATCAGGAGCTAAATATCCAACATCTCCTGTCTTTTTATCAACATATGTGATTCTTATGTGTTGTGTGTTCCATCTATGAACCATCATATCCCAGGAATACCCATACAATCCATTTGTCCAATTATTGTAACCCTAAACATATCAAATCATCAAACAACAAAGAATTATCAAATAGCAATACTGTCTCTTTAATAGTCATATAAAACATGTTTAATTGTTCTAAAAAAGGGTTTGATGTATTAAACCATGACATGAAATCTCTACATGCATTTTATTAAACCAAAATCAAAGGAACAGTGATAAATTCATGTTCTTCATCTCAAAGTAAAATTGATGCCTTTAACATAAAACAAGAGCTCACAAATCACTGCAAGTTCAAGATGGCCAATGGCAAATTTAGAGCTGAAATGTTTGTTCATTGAAAAAAAAATAATGAATCTCAGTTTTGCATTTTATCCATTAATTCAAGAAGAGCTGATTTCAAAACAAAAATGACCTTCTGATTCAAGGAAAGCTAAAAAAAAAATGATTTGTTTATTTGACCAGATTATGATTGATGTGTTTTGTGTATTTTACCTTGTAAGTATAATTAAAATGACTGAATACCTAAGTCGGTAAAGATAAGTTTACTAAATTTCTCATGTGTTTTAAACTTTGTTAGGAAACTGAGAGATAGACAAAGAGAACTGATTTGCAATGTTTTGTGTTCCTATTAAGTCTTAGCCTTGAAAAACCATACCAGTATAATAAGATTTGCTGAATAGCTATGCAACATGGCACAATGATTGTTAGATTTTATGTCATATGTTACTTACCTTAGTAAGTCCATGTGAAAATGGCAAGAAAAGCTGAGTTGCTATGTAAAGTAAAACAATGAATGTCCATATCTGATGGCCATAACCTGGTGCAGTAGGAGGAGGTTTCTTCGATGGTGGATCTTTTGACTTTGGCTCACTTTCTTTCTGTAATAAATGCAAAAAAATGTATATACAACATTCAACCACTTTTCTATTTTGCCCGAGGAAAACCTTTGGTCAGATGACATTAATATTTTTCTTAACAAAAATGATGTTAATCCCAAAAATACATAAGGGAGTATTTTCATTGGTCCCATTACGGCCCCTATTTCTAGCTCAATTTTCAAATTAGGATTTAATGGCCAATATCAAATTGTATCGTAGCTTTCTTTTTAGAGTCTTCAGAGTTCTTTTTATGGCATTATTATTGGCATAAATCTAATTTTCCACTAAATTCAATGAAAACATACAAATTTCAATAGGTTTTTGGGACCAAAACATATAGTGAATGCATGAACAACTTTTTTGTTTACATTATGTCTGCTATAACAAATGAACTATCTGACTTGAATATAAAGTTTGTGACGAATCATGCGCTCTGTGTTTTCTAGGCTTACCTGTGGTTGAAATCCAGAATATTTTGTCAACTGTCACAAAAATCTCTATTTCTAATCTCATCGGGGTGTAACTGACAAAGCTTAGTAAGAACAAGAGTGCACACACTGCCTACTTGATTGTATTTAAATTGAAAGTCTGTAATATGAAGGTGCAACTACAAGTATCACATACACTAATCATTATCAATGATCCATCATAATGAAGTCAAAGTCAGATAAATCATGCCAGACAAACATGTACACCTTACAATCATTCCATACACCAAATATTGTTGACTTATTTCTTATAGTATCTCATAAACTAACAAAACCATGAAAACTCAACATTGACCAATGAACCATGGAAATGAGGTCAAGGTCATATGAACCCTGCCAGACAGACATATACACCTAACAATCAATCCATACACCAAATATAGTTGACGTATTTCTTATAGTATCTGATAAACTGACAAAACAATGAAAACTTAACATTCACCAATGAACCATGAAAATAATGTCAAGGTCACATGACACCTGCCAGACAGACATGTACACCTTACAATCATTCCATAAACCAAATTACTTATAGTATTAGAAAATAAGACCAAACTACAATAAATTGCTTTGCCAAGCACATCTGGATACGACCACAGAGGTCCAACCCTGAACAGTTGGGGCAAAAATGGACACAATATTTGCGCTTGATACAGGTCTGAATTTGGATTGTAATTAAATATTTGACACAGAATAACTGTAGTCAAAGAACTTAGAAATGGTTATATGATTTGAATTTATATTCAATTTTTTGCTTTTGTGCAATACACTATGCTGTTGCGAATTGAACCCCCCCCCCCCCCCTTTTTTTTTGCAAAAAAAAAAAAAAAAATAATTGAAGAAATTTTCTTTTTATTTTCTAAAATCTGAAATTAGAAAAAATTGCCCCCCCCCCTTTTTAAAAAAAAAAAATCTTTCCCTCAAGATATGGTCAAATCTCAATTCAAATTTCCAATGGAGTTTGCAACCATAATTACCCATTTAAATACATCATAAAAGTCTTAAAATAGAAAATGAAATACATAATCATGGCTAAAATTAATATTCCTTAATTAGCATTTTTAATAGTAACTTCTAAAAATAAATTGACAGCTAATCACCTCAATACAATACAACATTTCTTTATACATCTAAAAGCAGTGTAAGGGAGGTAATCCAAACATAACATTGTACTTTTAAGTAATTGTCCATTAACCAGGAGACCCTTGTTTTCCCCCTTTTTTGCCCCTTATTCCTAAACAGTTTGAGCCATAACCCCCCAAAGCCAATCCAAACCATCCCTTTGTGGTATAAAAACTTGTGGTCTAATTTCAGAGAGATCCATACACCTTTCCACAAGTTATTGTCTAGAAACTAGAAAAATGATTATTTGGGCCCCTTTTTGGCTCCTAATTCCTAAACTGTTAGAACCATAATCCCCAAAATCTTCCTTTTGTGGTTATAAACCTTGTGTTTAAATTTCATAGATTTCTATTTACATATACTAAAGTTATTGCCTGGAAACCAAATGTCTTCGTACTACGCAGACGACGACGATGAAGTGATACCAATATACGACCGCAAAATTTTTTGCGGTCATATATAAACGCAACATTGTCCAATGAACCATTTAAATGAGGTCAAAGTCAGATGAAACCTGCCAGTTAAACATGTTCACCTTACAATCATTCCATTCACCAAATATTGTTAACCTATTGCTTACAGTATCTGAGATACTGACTTCATCTGTAAACTTAACCTTGATCACTGATACATGGAATGAGGTCAAGTTCAAGATAACCCTGTCTGACAGACATGTTTACATTACAAGGAAGTCATATACTAAATATAGTTATCCTATTACTCATAATAAGTGAAAAATTCACATGAAAAAAACTATAAACTATATTCATCTTGTTGAATTTTTCAAATTCATAAAATTATTGAAAACATTTCTATATTTATCAGTTTTAAGAATTTTATTACCTTTTTTCTATTATCTGGTTTTATATCTTCTTTACTATAGATACAATAACTACTGGTCTGTATCCCATCATCTGAAGGTAAAACAATCTTCATCCACTGTGGACATTTACTGAACAACAACCTTGGCCAATCAGCATAACAATATATCAACATGGTCGCTAACATGGTATATGAAAACATGCCTGTAAAAGAACTATTACTGTAAAAGAATTATATACATTAAAACTTGTATAACTTTGTGTAATGATTGTAGGACACTTAGAATATGAAATCTCAACTTAACAAAGTCTGTGAACAATTCAACGTTTTTTCCAACAAAAGCACTTGATAGGTTTCAAGGTAAAAATATATGTGGTAGGCTAGTTATGAGTTATCTCCCTTTATACGGCAATTTTTTTTTACTGTTATTGTAAACTTTATTTGTCTATCTATTTTTTGTTAAATAATATCTTTTTGTGATAAAATAAATAAAAAATAAGCAATTTTACAGTGAACTGTTAATTGTCTATCTAAAAAATCCAGTTGTAAATGTAGTGTTTAATTCTTTCAATTCTTTGTGAGTCATTGGGGTATATTATCAACTGTATATATTGTGAAAGTATAGTTTACCGTTATTTAAAGAAGAATATTGTGTGTTCCTGTTTTATTAAGTCAATGTTTAGTAGGCTTCAAGGATAAACATATTCTGTTTTCTGTTTTCAAATAGATTTAAAACCTGAATGGATGACATCTCACAGCAAACTTCTAACCATTCCCATAGGCTTCCCTAAGAGGAACTTCTTTCAAAGGCCACAGGAATGGTGTGAAATAATGGACATCACAGACAGATTAAAGGTAGATGGGGTCTAAAATTAATATAAATAATTTTCCAAATGTAGGTAAATCATGTTTTTTTTCAAACATATAGTAAAAAGTATGGGTCAGGAGACTTTTTTTCATGCTACAGATTGTGCAAAATTGTCAAATTTTGTTTAGATTATACATGGAAAAACCAATTTTGTGTGATGGAAAGAAAACTAAACGATATAATATGAGCAGATAGCTCTTATAATGTGAAAATAAAAAGAACAAGAATGTGTCCATAGTACACAGATGCCCCACTCGCACTATCATTTTTTATGTTCAGTGGACCATGAAATTGGGTCAAAACTCTAAATTTGGCATTAAATTTAGAAAGATCATATCATAGGGAACATGTGTACTAAGTTTCAAGTTGATTGGACTTCAACCTCATCAAAAACTTTAACCTAAAAACCTTAACCTGAATCGGGACAGACGAAAGAACGAACGAACGAACGAACGAACGAACTAATGGACAAAGGGACGCACAGACCAAAAAACATAATGCCCATAAATGGGGCATAAAAATTGGTGCAACTTGTTTTCTAGCTACAAAACAAATTGGGTAAATTTACCAAACATTCCTTTATAAAAGTTATCTGAGTTATCTCCCCTTACATGGCTAAGTTGAAAAAATTGAATCAAACAAAAATATTCTATATTTGTAAAACAGTCATAAAAATGAGATAAAACACATAATTTTCTTCTTTTAGATGAAAAATATTACAAATGAATTATATTATTCTCTCAAAATTTGCATATTTCATTACATACATAAACTTATTGTCTTTTCCTATCTTACAGTCAAAAAGGGCAGAAGACAAACACTCTTCTATAAATGGATTTTGAACAGCAACTTTTTTTTAATAGCTCAAAAAATTAATATAACTATTGAGTATTGCTTGTACCTACAGTATGTTGAGTCTGGTTTCTCATTTTCGAAAGACACTTTTGTTTGTATGTTGGATATTTTGTTCAGAAACTCCATAGTCCATATTGAACTTTGGTAAGAATTTTGGTAGGAAATTTTTGAGCTTTAATGACCCTTCAATATCAATGAAATGTAAAAATTAGGGCAGTGTGACTAAGCTTGAACTTAGAACTTAATATGTCAGTGAAAAGAAATCTGGGGCCTCATATAGCTGACTATATGGTAGGATTTTGCTCATTGTTGAAGGCTGTACAATAACCTATAGTTACTCAAATCCAAGTCTCATTGGCAATCATACAACATAGCCCTTTTTTTTTAGATTTAGAGTAACCTACTTTTGGTGATATGTGGGGATCTGAACTACCTTTATGTAAGAAATGTCTAAATTTATTAGATCTGCCTGAGGATGCAGATATAAGCAGATATATGCTCCAGGGTAATGCAACTAATGAAATAGTACAAGTTATAAACTACATAAAAACCATCTGCAATCCTGAATAGTAACAGCAATGAAATATCTGACAGTAAATTAACTAAATTGGCTAAATAGCACTAAATCTTGCCTCTTTGATTCATAACAATTGAGAAATAATATAGAGAACATCACCCCCAAAAACAATAAAATAAAAGGAAGTTTATTTGATGTCCATCAATAAGCTGTCAAATCTTTTTTGTGAGTATGACATGTATGAGGTCGATGTTAATTTGGCTGTTTGTCTAGTTTTTTTTTTAAGTATAATTGTGGAACTTGAATGATGTCAGTCAGATCATTTCATTACAACAAAATTAATATTTACATTTTCTAAAAGCTTTTAATAAGAAGTGAAAAAGAAAAGATTATCATTAATAATATGTTCATTTAATTTCTTTTATTTTTGACAAATTGCTGGGCCAAATGAGCACTTAAATGCCTTCTTATTTAACACATATGTATACCAATCTTTTCAAAATCAGCCTTTCATTCTTTGGAATGGAACACACTATACAACATTAAATGAATCACATCCCTCATAAAACATAAGTTTCTTATTTTGTTAGTTGTTGTTCAGTAAAAATAGAACTATCTTTAACATACCTATACTGAACATTTGGGAGTTCATGAAATGGAATGATCCAACAAAGAAAAATGCTAATGGTCTAGTCTTGTCAAAAAATAACAAAAATCCTGCAAACATGTCTAATATTAATCCTCCTAGGTGTACAATGTATAGATCTATCTGATCATCTGTCATTATTAATCTGAAATAAATAAAATTGCGATTTACAGAAAAGAATTTGAATGTGAAATTACTGAAAACTTAAGTTTATGTGACATTAACTCAATAATTTACTTTTGCTTAAGTCTGTGCTGGCTTCAAATCTCATATACCTCTATAGAAAAGTCAGAAAAATAAAAATATATTAATTTAGCCATTCCAAACAAACAAACAGTAACAGAAAATCCTAATTATTTAGAAGTAAAACAAAGCTTCAACTGACAGTAATTAATTAACCTGGTATAAATAAAAATATAAATGAGTCATAATGCTGGTGCTAAAATATTTGTAAATATCCTTTGATTTTTTTAAAATGTCCTTTATGTTGTAAATAAGGACTATAATTACCTGAATGGTTCAAATACCCATTTCTTGGACAAATTTGTCATGGAATACCCAAACATCCAGTCAAAATCTAACTTCTTGATTCCAGCATAAAAATATACAAGAAAAACCTACAATCAGAATACAAAGATTGAATAATTGATGGCTACCAAATGTACAGAGGTAAGCATTACATGCAAACATAGGATAATAATATGTTTATGAGATAAGAATTTAGCCTGCTCTTCAATACATCAACATGCTGAGTAGAAGTTTAACCTGAGAGTTCATACGGTAAAGGTCCTTGTGGTGACATCTTACTGCTTGGCCAAAATATTCTGAGCAGACCAGTCTTTCCAACTACATGTATTCCTGAATGCTTCCTGCTTTGCCAATAAGAAGTTAATACCATTCAATTTCAAACCAGTGACTTCTTGCACTCAAGTCAAAGATGATTCTACAAGGCCATTAGTATGTTCAGAAGTCAAGGAGTAATTGTTCAGCATTATATATGAATAAATACTGCTAAAAGATCGAGCTGATATTATAAACTGGTGTAAGTTTGTAAAAATTATCTTATTGTGTTTTTGTAAAATGCAGAGTATTGAGTACTGTCTTTTTTTAATCAAAAGCCATACTTCTGTAAGGGCTAACATTTACAATATCTACCAATGATCTACATATATTTTCATTACTGAATATTTCCTATGACCAAAGGACACCTGCATAATATAGTTGACTATTTAAAAGACAGAACCACTGTATTTAGTTACACTAGTAATACTATGTATAAAGACGAGTAGACTTATCAGGTGAACAAATATTAGGGACTTCACTGTAGTTAAACTTCAAAGTGTAAAAAAGCTGAATCATCACATTTAACTTCAAAGCAATTATCTATGTTGTGAGAAATATTTTTGAATTTTAAGTTTTAAATTCTAGTTTGAAACAAAGCAGGTTTCAATTGTCTTTGAATCATTTGAATTATGAGGAATGACATTTATTTTGAAATGAGATAAATATCATCAAAATCCTTCCTTAATAATAACATCCTTGTCACTGTAAAATCCTTTAAGAAATGACATGACAGCCATTACAGCAAACTTATTTGTAATAAATACTGTAGATTCATTATTAATCATGGGGTACCCATTCACCTAGATGCAGTGCAGGAAAAGCTCACAAAATGATATAGATATAAGAAGATGTGGTATGAGTGCCAATGTATGCCCACTTCTTGAAAAGTCCATGATTTGCAAATGATAAACACAATAATAATTCTGACAAATAAAAAACAAAACAAAAACAGCATTATATTGTAAACTGAATCTTTACTCATCAGGATGTAAAACACATGGTTTACTTATGTAAAAAGTATTGCAAAAGAAGCTCATGTTAATTTTAAGCATATTGAGGATAAAAATCAAACCAAATAAAAACACTAAAAACTGAAATAAAAGTAAAACTTCTTAATAGTTATGAAAAATTATATAAACAGAAATTTTAGAAAATAGATAATAGTAGTCCTGCAATAAAATTGAGGATAAGAAACATTTTCTTTGTATTGCAGGAAAAACTCAACCATCACACCAGCTTTTATTAAAAAATTGATTGAGGCAAAATGATGACATTAAAATGAAATTTATTCTCTGCCCATCAACACAAAAACCTGTAGAAAGCATAGGTTTATTTATAAAGCAGTCATTAGTACTAAGGGTAAGGGGACTCATAATTGAATAAACTATTATACTATATAAATACGTATTAATAAGTTTGTTTATTATAATTATACATGCTTTCTTCTTGTCATTTATATTTTGTTTGTTTTAGTCATAAATCATATAAGTTGATTTTCTTGGTAATATTTTTTCGTTAAATAATAAAGAATTCTCTAAATATGCTACCGAAATTTACCCAAAGGAACTGACTTTAAATAAATCAAATATTAACAGCAATAACTGCCTTTTCCTAGATTTATTTATTTTAGTTTTACACTAGAATCTCTGCACTGTCTTACGATGTTTATATATCACAGGTTCTTCCCTTTGCCCATGTCTGTCGTGAAGTTTTGGATTTCAATGAGCCTTATCTATGTATTTCTGATAAATTATTATGTCAGGGATTTCGTTACTACAAATTACTTAACACCTTTACTAAATTCTACCATAGATACAAAGATTTGGTTTGGAAGTTTGGCTGTACCTGTAGAAAACTTATTTCAAACGGAATAGCACATCCCAATTTTTATCATGAGGTTGTTTACTGAGCCTGGAAATTTAGATACGATCTGGGTATACTAATCAATCCTTTAAATGAACTTATTCTAAAATGTTACCAATTCAACACTGTAATTAGATCTATGAATATTGTTTTTGTATAAATATTGATTTTGTCATCAGTAAATTAAAACCATACTAAATATTATTGTTAAACACATATGCACATTCATTGTTCTTCAATCTGTAGACTATGTTTTGTCACGTTTTTCTCTGAGTGTTAATGACCTTTTAACACTAAATCCATTGGATGTTGGATGTGTACTGATTGATATTTTAGTCTTAGATACATGATTTTTTTATTTTGGTAATTATTGGTCAGTAACTGTGAGTACTCTGATCTGTACTTTGTGTCTTTTGTAATGGATGTATAAATACCCTTCCTTGTCCTGACTGTGTTTTTGTTAACTGTTTTTCTGGTTTGAATCGATCTGTTGAGTTAAGCCCTTTTCAACTGATTTTTATAGTTTGTTCTTACGTTGTCCTGTTACACCACTGTCCCAGGTTAGAAGGAGGGTTGGCGCCTTCAGCCATGTTTAACCCAGCCACATTCTTTATGTGCCTATCCCTAGTCAGGAGCCTGTAGTTCTGTGGTTGTCCTTGGTTCATGCCTGCCATATTTGTTTTTTGTAAATTGTTTTGTTATAAATTAGGCCATTAGTTTTCTCAATTGAATTGTTTTATATTTTTCATGTCAGGGCCTTTTATAGCCAACTATACAGTTTGGGTTTTTCTCATTGTTAACGGCTGTATGGTTGCCTATAATTGCTAACATCCACTTCATTTGAACTATGATGGATAGTTCATACCACATCTCCTTATTTCTATATTAAATGAACACAGAGTTGGAAGACTCCCCCATCACTATTTACTACCCTTTGGAAAGCAATGGGTATAATAAAATACAAATTTTCCATAGGTTTGTAAGATGAATTTGCCAAAACCACAAAGTCAAGTTTCCACAAAAATACAACTTTTTCTCAATCCAAGAAAATAAATTAATTCACAGGATAAAAACATTGGTTGATTGTTGCTCATTTAACATCCAGTGGCAAGTATTTCATACATATTCGGGATGATAAAAACACTGGAATGAAAAGAATAGATAAAGACTTTATAAGTTTGAATAACTTGTGTCTCATCCATTTTGCATATTTAAGCAAATAAAATATGTTTAAACTAGATAAAGACAATTTTATAACACATTTACATAGCACATATCTAATCTATTGGCATTACCTGAAATCTAAATACTGTATAGTTCCATAGAGGAACATGACTATTTCTGCAACTCTTCCATAACAAACCATCAACAGACCAGTAACGGTTAGCATCACAGAGGAAAAACATGACAGATATCAAACCATAAAGATAAGAATGATTGTTCCATGATGTCTTGTCTAGTAAGAATATGTACCAGTAAGGCACCATAAATAAAATACAGCTCAGACGATATAAAAATCCTATCATTATACCAAAGGCACCTGTGAATAAAGCAAAAACATATTTTGTATATACAAATTTTAATTTAAGTCATGGTCATAGTACAATGGTAATTATAGGTTTCTATACTGTAACTGTCCCTGAATTGTATCTTGACCAGAGTTGTCATTCCACCAATGGATGTTTGTCCCCTGTTTGAACTGTTACAGAATATACAGGCCATATAAAAACAAAACCCCAAAACACAAACAAATCAAAAACAAACATCTGCAACATACATATGTAACGTCTTTTAACTTTTTGTGTTATTGAGTTACTGTATCACTGACTTATACTCAAGTTTCTTTTATTCATAAACATCCAACAACAGAACAACCCAAATAATTCAGTCCCTCTCTGTATTGATTGCTCCTAATTGTCAAGGCTTGTACTTTCTATGAATTAAAATACAGGTCACAAATCCCATGAATCTTGGGATATTGGTGCCCTCTGGGAGAAAAGGCAAATCAGCTAGCATGTCCATTTTATCGAGAAAGGTAAATCCCAAGCTTATTCTGAATGATTTATTGACGTATTTTCATTGATTGGGCATTCAGGCATAAATGGATTATTATGGCCAGGAAATTGTCATTTCAGAAGTATTTTGGGTAATATTTTCAAAAGTATACACCAAATGACTAAACAAATTCTAAATAGGAATTCGAAATTTGGTATACAAAAAATAGATGTTTTTACACTTGTATGCAGATTTGTCTACCATTACTTAAATTAACACAAGTTCCCGCAATTAAAAAAACTTGACGTCATAATTAAACTAGAGGCTCTCAAGAGCCTGTGTCGCTCACTTGTATTTACTGATGCTTTGGAAATAATGTAAAATAAGGTTAAAATCATAATTAATAGTATTAGATATTAGATATTATAATGTTATCTAAGATAATAACAAAAAACTGCAAAATTTTTGTAAAATTACTAACTCAGGGGCAGCAACCCAACAACGGGTTGTCGGATTTGTCTGAAAATTTCAGGGCAGATAAATCTAAAGCTGATGAACATTTTTGCCACCTCTCAGATTTGCTCTAAATGCTTTAGTTTCAGAGATATAAACCAAAAACTGCATTTTACCCCTATGTTCTATTTTTAACCAAGTCGGCCATGATGGTTGGAAGGCGGGGTCATCGGACAAATTTTTTAAACTAGATACCCTTATAATGTTTATGGCCAAGTATGGTTAAATTTGTCTCAGTAGTTTCAGAGAAGAAGATTTTTGTAAAAGATCACAAAAATTTACAAAAAATTGTTAAAAATTTACTATTAAGGGCAATAACTCCTACAGGGGTCGACTGACAATTTTGGTCATGCAACTTATTTGTAGATCTTACTTTGCTGAACATTATTGCTGTTTACAGTTTATCTCTATCTATAATAATATTCAAGATAATAACCAAAAACTGCAAAATTTCCTTAAAATTACCAATTCAGGGGCAGCAACCCAACAACAGGTTGTCAGATTTGTCTGAAAATCTCTAGGCAGATAGATCTTGACCTGACAATCAGTTTAACCCTTTTTCAGATTTACTCTAAATGCTTTGGTTTCAGAGATATAAGCCAAAATCTACATTTTACCCCTATGTTCTATTTTTAGCCATGGCGGCCATCTTGGTTGGTTGGCAGGGTCATCGGACACATTTTTTAAACAAGATACCCTAATGATGATTGTGGCCAAGTTTGGTAAAATTTGGCCCAGTGGTTTCAGAGGAGAAGATTTTTGTAAAAAGCTAACGACGACGGACGACAAACTCCAAGTGATGAGAAAAGCTCACTTGGCCCTTCGGGCCAGGTGAGCTAAAAAGGAATTGGTGCATGATGTCAAAAGGTTATTCCGAGACAGAGCTAGGGTCATTCAGAGACAATTCAGCTAAATACCCAAAAGGTAAAATATGTCTATGGAATTACCCATAGTCCTTTAGTTACTGAAATGGTCAATTATGCTATTGATTTTTGAAACTGATTTTTCTTTTAACAGAAATTTCAGTTTGTTTGTACTCTTACCTAACCACATGAATCCATAAACTACCATCATCCACTGAATTGGAAGTGGTTGCAGGAAGTTAAAGAAAGGGAAGTAACACACATTTTGTTGAAATCTCATGTCAGCATGTCCTAACCCTCTCTCTTGTGGTATGTCTATTACCATCAACAATCCTGAAATAAAATCATAACTTAAACTGAAAAATGTGTAACCTTTCAAAATAAAAAATTCAAATGTATAGAATTTAAGAATATTGGAAATACAGTATAATCCAGGCTCTAAGCATGACAATATATCAGGGATCGTCTAGGGTAATTAAAATCTTGCAAACCAGGTTTTCTATATTTTGATGGTAACCATGTTGAACTTAAAGAGAGCAGCTAGTTTGAATGAAAATAATGTATTCTAACTTATGGAGCTTCCAGGCTTGTTTGAATTGAATCATCTGGTTGCGCCTGTCTGGACATAAAGTGCCAATTTAATATATCAAGGACCATAACTCCTTAACTGGAAAAGTGAAAATAGTCAACTTGACCTCTATTTAGTCATGGGTAAAAACATATTAAAACTTGAAAAGCAATGATTGAATGGTTCACAAGTTATTTCACAGAAACTGTTGGCAGCCACCTGCCTCATTGCATGCTGTTCTTCAACATTTTAATAACAGATTTTTCATTCGGAAAACCTGGTTAAAAATAGAATGCCATTTAAGAGATATAAAAAGGGCTTTATGTTCTATATATAAAGAAAATAGGGCACCAAAATATGATAAAAAATAAATATGATACATCAATATTAGTATGAAAACACTTTTAACCCTTTTGGGTTCTTTTTTTATGTAAGTTAAATTAACATGGTTAATAAGTATACAAATGGAATTTAAAATAATTACCTGTGGCATGCAACAGTTTAAAACTAAAATAATTTTAATTACCTAAAACTGAAAATTACTCAAGAAAAAGCAATTAAAAATTCAAATAGACTGAAATCAGTCATTTATCAAAAAATACAAATCTGATAATTTCTGGGCCCTTGAACTCCATAATATAGGTATAAAGTCTATCAAGTGTTTATTTTTTTGCCCAAAAAAAATTCACTTTTCAAAAAATAATCATAATCTTCATCTATATCTTTGAAAGTATCCCCCAAATTTTGATTGGCAAAAAATTGGTGACAATCAAGCACTTTAGTAGATGAATAGATAATTCAATCTTTCTATTTTGTTTTTAGATGACAGGTTTGGGGCTAACCCTACCACCCAAAAATAAAAAGAAATAAAAAGAAAAAATGTATGCTATATATACATTAACAAGTACAATCAATAAGATATCAAATGTACACTGGACAGTAAATTGTTTCAGGGGAGTTAATAGCCATATATACAACAAGTACCCCTGTATTTAGCCATGTATGGTGCGCAGTTTTGTATAATAGGCATACCCTTTTCATTCCTCTAAAATCGTGTAAAAAAATTTAAAAATTTGTTTTTTATTAAGAAGTCTAGTTGACTGTAAAAATCCTTTATAAGGGAACAATTAAACCATGTATTTAATCTTCATTTAAGTCTATTGAAAGATAAAAATAATATATAAGATTGATTGTTCAATCAAATTGTTTAATTAAATAATTTTAAAGTCATAAACAATAAAATGGTAGAGCTTTTATCATGTAATTTATTTACATTTGTTAATCTTATAAAAGTAAAGTTATTAATTAAAGATTCCTTTTGAAATCAATGTATGCCTAAGCTTGTCCAAGCCAATGCACTGTTCAAATATTATAAAAGAAATAATTGAAATGTTATGGAGCAAAAGAAATTAGACCTCAAACATTTTTCTAAATTGATTAGCAGTAATTAAAATTTAATAAACTTTGTAATCCGATATTTTCCTGGATGCATTACATTTGCACGCATTTGGGGATTAATTTTTGTTACAATTGCGCACAGCTTTTACATACATTTGTGCCCATTCATTTTACAGGTAACACAGGTAAAAACAAACATTATAAGTATGACTAAAGTTATTCGGAATTTTGAACATTCTTGTAAATTTAAATTATATATTTTTCATATTGAATTCTAAAAAGATATAAAAGAGAGGCGAAAGATACCGGAGGGATATCCAAACTTATAAGTCGAAAATAAACTGACAACGCCATGGCTAAAAAAGAAAAAAGACCCACAGACAAACAACAGTACACAAAAAACTAAAGACTGAGCAACACGAACCCCATCAAAAACTGGGGGTGATCTCAGGTGCTCCGTAAGGGTTAGCAGATCCTGCTCTGCATGTGGCCCCCATCGTGTTGCTCATGTTAGTACAAACCTGGTAATAAGTCTAATTCAGTAGGTCACATTCGGGAAAAGGGGGAAGGGATTGTGGTTACGACATTACATATAAAGTGATTACGAGAAATTCTGTAATAGCTTAAGATATATATGTAACTTAATTGTGAATATATAGTATTCTGTTTCCTTATAATTTTACCCAATAGTGATCGCTTTAGTATTGTTTAAGTCAGTTTGTAAATATGCTCCAAGGCACAAACACAGAGTTTCTTTTGTCTGAAACAAGTCGTAGGAAAATATCATTAGTGTACAATGGATTTATTTTCCGTATCGACAGAACTCTTAAGTCAGGGGATATTTCATGGCTATGCCCCAAAAATAATTGCAAAGGTATTTCAGCAGATTCCCTTTTTCTCACTTCAATGAGCAATTTAATTCAGCACTTCCATGTACTTATAGTATTTTTGTATTTTGTGTTTTCTTAAAGGAAATATTCAGAAAGTTACGACATGTAAAATCAGTACTTTAAATCTTTAGATTTGCTAGGTATTTACATTTTTATCTGGATATATTTCCAGGACTAAGTGCTTGTGCATAATAAAACGGACTTGTCCCTCTCGAAAATAATACCTGTAAAATAATGCACACAAATGTAATCAAAAGCTGTATGCAAATGTAATGATAATGCGCTCAAATGTAATGCACTTATTTTCTTTTCATTGATCATGTTGAATTCGAGCACTGCCTGAGGTTATTATATTGAACACCTGTCAAAAGTTGACATGATTATTCAATTGCTACACACCCATACTTAATCCTTAATTACATTTTAATATAAAAATAAGAAGATGTGGTATGATTGCCAATGAGACATCTCTCCACAAGAGACCAAATGACACATAATTTACCAACTATAGGTCACCGTATGGCCTTCAACAATGAGTAAAACCCATACCGAAAGTCAGCTATAAAAGGCCCCGAAATGACAAATGTAAAACAATTCAAACGAGAAAACTAACGGCCTGATTTATGAACAAAATAATGAAATAAAAACAAATATGATATACAGCAACAAACAACAACCACTGAATTACAGGCTCCTGGCTTGGGACAGGCACATACAGAATGTGGCAGGGTTAAACAAGTTTGAATGCGCCAACCCTAAGCTCATTAATGCAGGGTGTCACCCCAGTACTATGAATATTCAATAATGAAGGAAAAAAACGTTATTAAAAAAAAAAAAAACCAAATAAATAAATAAAATAAAAAAATATCTTGAATATAAACAATAATGAAGTAAAAAACAATATTAATAAAAAAAAAAAATGAAAAACCATCTATAAATGTGTATAATATGCATCCCCTCTACTAACTTCATTTTCGGGGTAAAAAAGTGTGTATTATACATGACAAAATACGGTACAGTCAATAAGATATTAAATGTACACTGGACAGTAAATATAACAATTCTACTTTTGAAAAAAAAAAAAAAATGTGAATATAAGACAGAGTCAAGAAAGGTTTATTTCTAAAGCCAAAACAAATGACCATTTTGATAACTGTGTGTAATAATGTGTATGTATATATGATTATTATATGTTTATTGTGTTAATACATGTTGGTCACAAACTGTAAAGTTTATACGACAATAAAATATTTGATTTGATTTGAAAATAATAGAATATCCTTACTTACCAAATACTATCCTCATGATCCCAAGGGATGCTGGATCCATTGGACGACATAACAATGTTACAAATGACCTCCATCTCTTGCATTCATCAAGGGAAAATCCAAACAAACTTTCAAATGTTGGCTTGTTTGTTGTTTGAACTTTTCTTTCCTTCTTTTCTTTCATTATGTATTGATGTCAGTAGTATATGGAGTTGGTTGTGTATTCATTCAGTTATCCAGTTTAATATTAATTAGTAACTAAAATAATATAAGAAATTTTAAAACAAAAAGTGCATGCCAGATTTTTTTTAAGTAAAAAATTTACAAGTAAACCATCATTCAAGTAAAAACTAAAATATTTTCAGAAGTTTTTAATTTTATTATTTATATATGAGAAACATGTATACTCTGTATTGAACAGATATTTTTGGTATATTCATATGCAGTTTGAAATTATCTTATGATAGTGCCCCTGTAAACTATTTTTTCTACAATGAAATCACATTCATCATGTTCATTAAAGGTCTTTGTTAAACGATAATACTTCGATGACATGCAATATATTATACAAATGTATTTATTAAAAGGAAAAAATGATTTAATATAAACTATACTGTAGTATGGGTACACAAAAAGGTTATTCAAATTTAACCAAATGTTTGCTTCAATTGATGCAAATAGAAAAAAAAATGGAAATAAATGTGCTTAAACATGTTAAACGAATATTACTTACACATCAGTATTCTATTCCAAACATGGAGTCAAATATGTTATTCAGAGCCATTAGTTTTATTTGGCTTCTTTAATCTGTCTGAACTTGGGAGATTTACTGGTATTAAAATTTGATCATATCATCTAACCAAAACTGAAAATCAATAAAAGTATAATTACATTTCTTAATATAGTCATAATTATAAGGATTCTATGAATTATGGTCAGATTTTTATGATTTTATCAAATAATTATAGCAATTTAACATGAGATTCTGGACAATATTCTCTGTAAATACAGATCGTGTTAATGTAACTAATATTTTCAAAGGATGGTTTTCTGGCAACAAAATACCACAAATGATAGATTTACTTCACATTTTTCATGCTTATTTCAAGTTGATAATTATCAAAATTGTACAATAATAGTATTGAAATAAACATGCCATCTCTGTGCCCATGATGTCCTTGGAGAAGGCATGTAATTCATGCAGCTTCCAGTCATACAAGTCAATGTCTATTCATATCATACACTTATTTACTGGCTATTCAGGCTATAGCAAGTTTATTGTCCACCAAGGCACCAAGTATTTCCTGACGCTAAATGGAGGGAAATAGATGCTGTCGAGATGGACGATAAATTTGTTATTGTCGGAAAAGCCAGTAAATAAGTGTTTTATTATTCACAAAGAAACTCATATATATTTCAAGACAATGTATAATAGATATCATCTTTGGACTGTTACTCTCAAATCTGTTCCAAGTGAAATATTTTAGATAACTCATCATTTCTAATTGAAGCGCACGATGTAAAATTTCCTCGAAGCTATATTCTGGATTGACTTCATAATAATTTGGCTGCGCAAATAACACAGGTGATTTCCCGTAAAAAGACTATTAGGCAGTTAATAGTTTTTGAAACTATTATCTGGTTAATAGTCTTTTTCAGACAATTGCATAAAAAATAGTAAATTTATTTGCCTATAATTTTATAAAGAAAATACATACTGAGGTATAATAATAATTACTATTATATGATGAGGCTATGTGAAAGAGGATGTTGATATAGTTTGAGTATCTATGATACTGGCAGATCTTTGGATAAAGTTGCAGTTTGATATCGCACCTACTTCTGTCTGACTGCTGACAGCTTAAAACATGTACAGAACCACACTAAAAAATGTCCCACAATGTGCATCTTGGATAATTTGTATACTGTGGTGATATAACATTGAGATAAATTACAAATAATTATATTATTCACATTAAAATAACTTAACAAAAAACATCAACTAAAGAGTGATGAAGGGAAAAGAATGAGGAAAAACACTGTATGTCGGCTGTAGGAAAGACATGAAAATTCAATAATTCATAAATTTAAGATGGATATTTGCTTTCCATATAAAAGACATAAAATACTTGAGTTTAATTTTGATTTAGTTTAAGTAACCTTTTCCTTCTTGTACTTAAAGTTATTAACCGGTCAGAAGTGAAGTCAGCCTCTTACATTGTAAAAAATCTTTTAAAACCTGATAAAATTTAGCATGTACTAAAACAAGATTGTTGTAAATATTATATCAACTTCCTTTTGCAATTTAATATTTAACTTGGTGTTGAGATTGTCCTATTGTGTACATATGAATCTATTGTTTTTATGACCTTTAAAAGATAATTTCAAGACTGTCTAATTGAATATTTGCTTTTGTTTCCTTTTAGAAAACTAAAGTTTGACAGTCTAATCAGGTAGATTTGCTCAATTTAAAACATTCATTTTCCTTAATCAGGTAGATTTGCTCAATTTAAAACATTTATTTTCCTTAACTGTCATTTGATACTTCTGAGCCTTATACATATATTATAACCATGCTATACTGGAATTTTCTATATCGATTAAATTTCCATGGGGCATAACTCTCATAGAATTAGTAGATGGTCCAAAATGTTTCAGATGTAACCTTAGACACTAATTTAATTAATTTCTTATGTGAAATAAAGGTGCCAACACATAATTGTGCTAATTTATTTATGAACATAAAAATGAATAGAATGATATAAGCTGGACAGTTTAATACAAATATATCACTTTTTTTTATCAGTTTTTGCATCACACATGTAGTTTAAAGCAAAATAAAATATGAGTAATGGTAATACACAACAAGGAATGAGCTGTCAAATTGAAAGCAAACTTGGATTTCTGTATTTTACAGGCGCTTTCAGGCTTTTTTAACCTGCCTGTCACTGCCCACTACAGTAACATTCTATGTCTATTTTCTAATTAATCAATCCATAACTCCTGGAACAACAAAACTGAAAATTGTCAATATCAATCATTGCTAATCTTGACCACCATTTTGTCATCAGTAACAGCATATCAAAATTTTAAGAGGTTCATAGGTAAATTGCCCAGAAACAATATAAAGTGCCATTTTCAATTGATCAAGGATCATAACTTCAGAAAACCCAGTTAAAAATATATTTCACCCACATTAACTTGGTACAATGTGTATGATATCGTGTAGCTAAATATCTGTTTGGATAAAAGCTTTAAATAATTCATATCCAATAAATATAAATAACAGTACCGATTTCTGAGGAAAACACTGTATTTCAGATAAGTCATTAATAATAATAATAATAAAAAAATAATTCTTTATTAATAATGAGGATTACACAGTTGGCTATAAAACTAATCTTCCCTGAGGCCCTCATGAAGTTTATTGAAATATATAACAAACGATTTTACAAAATAATCAAACATTTTTAACACATACATATAAAGAAAAATCAAATGAGAAATTGTTGACAAACCAAACAAAAAGTGGTTTTCTAAAGAAAGGACAGTGTGCAATAAGGTCTCATTAATAGTAATCATGCATATTGGACTTCTGATAAAAAAAAAGAATTATATCAGTGAACATCCAGTAAAAGTGTTCGGTATAATTATTAATTAGATGTACGGTTCATAAGTTATTGCACAGAACTGAACGAGCTATTGGATGACTGGGCAGACAGACAAAGCATCATGGTATCGATTGAAATTTGCCTGAACATTTAGCTTTGGCCTGTTATCTTTGAGAACATTAGCCAAAGTAGCCTTATTCAATCCATGTAAATGTTCATGCTGCTGTAATGGGGTATCGGGTCCGTTCGCTCCCAATACACTCGTTCGCCCCCTACACGTTCGCACCCCACATGTTCGCCCCCTGGGTCTGCACACCCTATTCTTATTCAAATACCAATTGAATTATTAGATGGTTTTTAGATGTATAATTATATTTCTATTAATAAAAATTCAGGAATTTCAAAATGAAATATCTTTTTTTGGGGGGATTTGCTGAAGACTGTAATTGGATCATCAGACAAACCAGTTGATATGATTTTCCGCCACAGTAGACTTTGAACTTTGATTACAATTGTGACTGTTATTTGAATTAAATACATTAATTCTTTAAAAATAAACTGTTTATATTAATGCATATTAGATAGTATTGGTAAGTGAATGGCGTATTTTGTGGTGTTTCAGTGTTTTTTTTAAAGATATTGTAGTAGATATAGGAAGATGATGTATGAGTGCCAATGAGACAACTCTCCATCCAAGTTACAATTTATGAAAGTAAACCATGATTAAGTGCTCTTTTAAATTTTATGAAGTAGTTACTCTAAACATTTTAGTGCTTTTTTTAAATGAAATATTTCATAATTTGAATGATTGTGTACGGTTAAAGTGCATGAAGTAAGGAACCTGTTTACGTTTTTAGAATGTGACTTTATTTTAAATCAATAAAAAAAACTTATTTATAGCAATACACTAACTAAAACACAATTTAAAAGTTATGCAACATAAAACCAATCAAAAGGGTGCGAACAGACTCAGGGTGCGAACGTGTGGGATGCGAACGTGAAAGGTGTCGAACGTGAATAGGAGCGAACATGATTTTGGGCGAACGGACCTTGATTCCTGTACTGGTAACACACATTATTAACTCTCTCTACAATTTGTTGCTAAATCTATGATGCATTGATCTGTAGGTGGCAACTTTAAACAAAAGAATATTCAAGGACTTTCACCAGATAAGAAATCTGCTTGAAATTATTGTTAAAATTGTTATGATTTATAAATTAAAGCTGTTTATGTGACGTTTCTGTTGCTATTCAGTATAAATACAGAAATCCTTCTTATTGATGAAATAAGTATAGGCATACATAAAGGTGGTTAAAAAACGTCTTTTCATGTATTCATGTGTACGACTTTTTTTTTTACAAAAACAAGTGCCTGTGGTCTAAGACTTTATACATGTAATCATGTATTATTCACCCGTTAGTTTAAGTTATATCACTATCACTATCAGGTCTGTATGTGGTGCCTGCATTTGTTTGATTGTAATTAATAAAATAAACGTATGAACCCTCAACTACTAGCTTATTGTTGGTTAGTACTTTTCTAGTTTTATTGCAGCATATAACTTAAGTCTGAATAAAGCTAGAGCTGTGGAGACTGTTCAGCACAATCACTTACCTGGAAGTTGGGATTTCCAGGGTTTGCTCGTTTCCAAAGTTGATAAGAAATTTTCTAAATCAATCAAATTGACATAAAACTTCGTAAACAAGAATATACAAAATATTAAAACTCACTTTAATATGTTTTAGCTTCAAATTCAAAATTATAAATGAATAAATAAACAGATATCCGGATTGATTGACTCCTTTTAGAGCCTTCCTTCTCTCTAGACTTTTCCATTTGTTTTCTTTTCTCTGGAGTTTACCTCATTGTAGGATTTTATTGCAACAGCATTCACCACCACAAGCATGGTAAAAGAACAGTTCAGAGAAACAGATGTTGCTAAGAAAATGTCAGTTCCTAATACACCAAATTGATAAAACAAAATATGTTCACCAAATTAGTTGACACTCACATGGAAAACAAAACGCTAAACAAAAAATGATGGATAATATTCTTACATGGTTATTTTTTTGTTTTTTAAATTTTAATTCCTCCTTGATTATGCTTTTTGAGTTAGACAAATTCAGTTTAACCTGTGTTCTGCCCAGGGTGCATTATTGTCACATGTATTCCACACCTTTTATCCCATTAAGGGCATATAATACAGTTCCAAGGAGGTATTTTTCGTGACATCAAACTGACATACATGTATTCGATGCAGTCTGGTAAATCAGCCCACACAAGGCTTTGATCGCATGAATTTCTGCTTAATTATATACAAATTGTATCAAATTTAATATAAATCGATTCACTGACAAATCAATTTTGAGTAGTTTATCTCATTTCCCAAAAAAATATCTGAAATAAATTTTAAAATCAACAAAACAAGTGATGTTTTTATTGGAAATGTGTTTGTCCGATAAATCCGCCCATGCAAAATAAATATGTATGGAGAGCCAGTTTATCACATATTTATGAAAATAAAGGTGTCAGATCTATTAATAGACCACTTATAAAGGGATTCCAGATAATCCCCCAAAAAATAAGTTTCAAGTCATAAATGAGTTTTGTAAGCAATTATATGATTATCGTTAGCTTCAGAAACTGTATTATATAAATCAATAGATATTTTCATAATAAAGGATTTTTCTTTAATTAAATTTGACATGCAGTGATGATAAGTACAGTTCCTTTGAATAAAATAGTAGACGAAATATTCACGGAAGTGACAATTACGGAAGTTAATGGGAGTGGCCGGGTTTACCGTACAGGTGGAATTACCGGACACTACTGTTGGGAAAAGATGCATTTTTTGACTGATTTTGATAATTAGCTTGAAAACGAGTACATTGACCCCTCTTTTTAAAAATGACATTTGGCTTGATTATATATGAAGATTATTTCAAAATTTGTCCCATTAATGAACAAATCACTGATGATTTTTTAAAAATTAGATAGATATACAGCATAAAATGCAGTTTGTTTTGTGAAAATCATGAAAATTTGATAAAAACGAATTATTTCCAAAGAATTATTACTAAAATTTAGATCATACTTGTGTCAAGAAGATATTTCAATTGTTTTTACAAAAATCAGCTTATATTTATATTTGGAAACAAAGCTAGGTGTGTCTGTCCAAAGCAAAAGGATAGAAATTTACAAGAAATAAAAATTTGTATTAAATAAATGTCTTAAATTTCGACCCCATTTATCTCTAAAAGTAGCACTTAAAGGTATATTTTTGTCTAGCTTGCAAAATTTATTTTTCGCTAAAGCGAGACATTGCAATCCTAGATTATGTCGGCGGCTGAAATTTAGACAGAAGCTTGTTTATAACCAAAATATAGTATCCAGAGCAAAATTTTGGAAATGTTTATTTTCTTTTTTCCGTATTTTACTGATAAATGACTTAGTTTTTAGCTCACCTGGCCCAAAGGGCCAAGTAAGCTTTTCTCATCACTTGGTGTCCGTCATCCGTCTTCCGTCGTCGTTAACTTTTACAAAATCTTCTCTTCTAAAACTACTGGGCCAAATTTAACCAAACTTGGCCACAATCATCATTAGGGTATCTAGTTTAAAAATGTTTCCGATGACCCCGCCTGCCAACCAAGATGGCCGACATGGCTAAAAATAGAACATAGGGGTAACATGCAGTTTATGGCTTATATCTCTGAAACTGAAGCATTTAGAGCGAATCTGACCGGGGCTAAAAATGTTCATCAGGTTAAGATCTATCTGCCCTGAAATTTTCAGACAAATCTGACAACCTGTTGTTGGGTTGCTGCCCCTGAATTTGTAATTTTAAGGAAATTTTGCAGTTTTTGGTTATTATCTTGAATATTATTATAGATAGAGATAAACTGTAAACAGCAATAATGTTCAGCAAAGTAAGATCTACAAATAAGACAAACATGACCAAAATTGTCAATTGACATCTTAAGAAGTTAATTCCCTTTATAGTCAATTTTTAACAATTTTTCTTAAATTTTTGTAATCTTTTACAAAAATCTTCTCCTCTGAAACTATTGGGTCAAATTTAAACAAACTTAGCCACAATCATCATTAGGGTATCTTGTTTAAAAAATGTGTCCAATGACCCCGCCTGCCAACCAAGATGTTTCGACATGGCTAAAATTAGAACATAGGGGTAAAATGCAGTCTTTGGCTTATATCTCTGAAACTAAAGCATTTAGAGCAAATCTGATGTGGGTATAAATGTTCATCAGGTTAAGATCTATCTGTCCTGAAATTTTTAGACGAATCAGACAACCCGTTGGGTTGCGGCCTCTGAATATTGGTAATTAGTCCCCTACCGACGAATTCGAAGGGGACTTTAGGTTTGCACTCTGTCCATCCGTCAGTCCGGCAACTCAGTTTTCCACACTTTTTTTCTTCGTTCTTGAAGATATTGATTTGGTATTTGGTATATAGTTTAATCATGTTATAGATCAAGTTCGAATTTTGTTCCGGTCTGATGATTTAGTCCAGAGTTATGGTCCATAAAAAAATGTTAGAGTACTATGTTAAACCATACATCTGTACAAAGGGAGATAACTAATTTTTTAAAAGACATTCTTTGGTAAATTATTTGAGGAATTTTGTGGCAGGTTTATATGTTTTTTTGCATAAACTAATTTTCTGAATGCTACATGTATATATATATATATATATATATACATATATATTTTTATTAAGTGAAATCCTTTAATTAGATAATAATCTATTTTTATTAAGGTATATATTTCATTACATTACATTGTGTAGATAAAAGTTGTTGACATTTTATAGAAAAGATACAAATCTATATTAGTTTGTGACAAATGAAAGAAAAAATAGTTGAAACTATTAATTATATTTGATTGTAATTTGAAAATAGATATAAATTGTATTACATCATATCTAATTTTAGAGAACTATTAATCATATCTAATGTTAGAGTGTTATAGGTTTTCCACACTTTTTTTCATCATCTTGAAGATATTGATTGACAATTGGTATATAGTTTTATCATGACAAGTTACATATCAAGTTCAAATTTTTGTTTCAGTCTGATAATTTTGTGCAGAGTTATGGTCCTTGGACTTGAAAAAATTCACTCACATATTCAGTTTTCCACACTGTTTTTAGTCATGCTTGAAGATATTGACTTGATATTTTCTTTTTGTTTACACCATGACAAGTTATAGAACAAGTTAGCATTTCGTTCCATTATAATGAATTTTTACCTGGTAGGGGACTATGTATTGCCATGCAATACTCTAAGAATGCTTGTTTTAAGGAAATTTTGTAGTTTTTATACGACTGCAAAAAATTTTTTTTGGGATCGTATAATGGTATGATGTCGTCTGCGTCTTCGTCGTCGTCCGAAGACACATTGGTTTCCGGACAATAACTTTAGTTTACGAAAATGGATCTCTATGAAATTTTTTAAGAAGGTTCAATACCACAAAAGGAAGGTTGGGATTGATTTTGGGGATGATGGTCTTAACCGTTTAGGAATTAGGGGCCCAAAAAGGGGCCCAAAACAAACATTTTTCTAGTTTCAGGATAATAACTTGTGTATAAGTATTTCGATTGCTCTGAAATTGTACCACAATGTTGAATACCACAAGTAGAAGGTTGGGATTCATTTTATGGGTTATGGGGGCCAACAGTTTAGGAATTAAGGGCCAAAAAGGGGCCAAATACAAGCATTTTTCTAGTTTCCAGACAAAAACTTGTGTGTAAGTGTATGGATCTCTCTGACATTGTACCACAAGGTTCCATATAACAAAGGGAAGGCTGGGATTGAGTTTAGGGTTAATTGCCCCAAACATGTAGGAATTAGGGGCCAAAAACAAGCATTTTTATACACCCGTTTACGGGACGTATTATGGTATACCACTGACCGTCTGTCCTTCCGTCCGTCTGTCCGTCCCTCCGTCGTCAACATGTCAGACATTAATTCAAAAATGCTTGAACCAATATGCATAAAACTTTGGTGAATTGTTTATATCTATTGACGTGAGCTCCCTTTCGTTTTCTATAAATTTCAGATTTACCATTTCCGAGTTTTGGGGTTTTATTCATTAAAAAAGGGGGGATTTTCCAGTTTTCGGACAATAACTCAAAAACAATTTCACCAATTTGCATGAAACTTTGGTGAATTGTTCATATCTATTGATGTGAGCCTCCTTTCGTTTTTTATAAATTTCCGATTTACTGTTTCCGAGTTTTGGGGTTTTATTTATTAAAAAAGGGGGGATTTTCCAGTTTTCAGACAATAACTCAAAAACAATTTCACCAATTTGCAAGAAACTTTGGTGAATTGTTTATTTCTATTGACATGAGCTCCCTTTTGATTTTTATAAATTTCAGAATATATATTTATGGGGTTTTATTCATTACAAAAAGGGGGATTTTACAGTTTTCGGACAATAACTCAAAAATGCTTTCAGCATTTTTTATGAGACTTTGGTAAATTGTTTATATCTATTTTTGTAAGCTCCCTTTTGATTTTCATAAATTTTCAATTTTACATTTCAGAGTTATAAATTTTTATTTGTTTATAGTCTGACAACAGATTTACTAAGTATTGCGCAACAGCACAGTGTATTGCACAACAGCAAGAAATCTTTTATATAACCAATTTCAAGTTCTTTGACTACATTTATTCAGAAACCTATAATATATCAAATATTTAATTACAATCCAAATTCAGACCTGTATCAAGCTTGAATATTGTGTCCATTTTTGCCCCAACTGTTTATTTTAGTTTCCAGACAATAACTTGTGTGTAAGTTTATGGATCTCTCTGAAATTGTACTACAAGGTTCCATACTACAAAGGAAAGGCTGGGATTGAGTTTGAATTTTTTTCCCAATTTTTTTAAGGGATTCATATTTTTTTTTTTAAATTTTTCAAATTTTG